TTCGTGCCTAATTTTAGAATCGCTTATGTCAGAAATGGTGATTCTTAGTAAAAAAGTATACAGACAATTTTTGTAGATAATTTTATGATCTACAATTTTTATCTCACCTATATTTTTGATATAACTTAACTTACCGTTTATGAGAAAAATAAAAAAAAAAAAACGTAAATTTTGACTTTAACAACTTTTTAAGCAGGCATATTCGTTCCGTGCGTGACCATGGTAGGGGTATATTGAAACGATGCCAGCGTGCGTAGCGGCGAAATATGACAAAATTGGAATATTGGACAAAATATTTTTACGCATAAATTTTATCAAAAATGTATGCAAATACATGTTGCGTATTCAATTATGTTAAAAATAGCAAAAACAGTGAGTGTAGTTTTTATAGGTTCCCAAAGATTACATATAAATTAGAGAAAAGAAAAAGATGAATTCGTGCTATTAATATGAAAAAGTAAATATCACATAATTTCATTTTTATGCAATTGAAATAGGAAAAATTTAAATAATTTACCTTGAATGATATTTGATAAGGCTTCAAGCTAACTGCAGATGACTTTAGCTTTTATATCATAACTTTTACCATTATTGTTTTTAATTATATGCTCTTTTGCGTGAAAAACTTGATTTGCCAGTACTAGATTTTTCCCTTTCTTTTCCGTTTGGAGTTGAAAAGATATATTATGATAAATTTTGAGAAACTAAGTTTTTAATACTACATTTATTTTGAACATAAACTGAAAAAATATAGTTAAAAAACTAATTTATTAATAATTGTCAATTTCGCATGTATTTAACAATGTCAAACATATGTCATATGTTTAACCTGAAAATTGGGACTCCAAAATTGTCAGATGAAGGCGATAGGTGTCGCGTGAGTCACGCACGGAGCGAATAATCGATACGGAATTTTGGTATTTTATTTGTAACGGTGTATACAAGATCTCTATCAAATTTTAGCTTTATCCAAATGCTTGTTGTTTGACCATTATTTTTCAAACTAAGTTGACCGGACTAATACATAAAACATAAAGAAGAATGGAAGGGAAGACCCGTAATAAGCTGAAACAAGGTTTAAATGATAATCTCTGAACGTACAAAGATAGATATTGATTTTATATCGAATAATAGTTCGATATATACACTGTGTCCGTAAAGTATGGAGCAAATTTTTTTTAGCTAAAACAGAGCATTTTAAGAAATAATCCTAAAACATGTCGATTTTTTATTTTAATTTACCGTATTTTAAAATAATATTTTAATATACAGAGTGAATTATTCTCGAGTAATGACGTCACCGTCATTTTTTTTTAAATGGAACACTCCTCTTTTGTGTCAATTTTCGGATTACTCTAGCTGAGCTAGAAATGTATCACATGTTGATTCAAATTGGTACAGGGTGGACAAAAATAGTTTTGTGTGTGTTCATAAAGTAACGCGTTAGTTAAATTAACAATATTATCAAAAATACTTATTGTCTAGCGGACAGAATATGATGAAATAAATGACTTTATAAATGTTCGAACTACAGCCTTTGCTGTATTTGACAGTAATCCAAACGTTGTACAATTTCTTGTTGAACCTTGTTTATTGTGTCTAGACAATTATTGTTATTGCTGTCCGAATCAAAAATACTTATTGTCTAGTGGACAGAATATGAAAGAAATTATTTCTTATCAATTTAAAAGAGACATAGTAGGCTATGTTTTTGTTAAATGTCATTATTTGTTTAGTAATTTATTGATGTTCAGTGACAGTTTAGTACTACAATATTTTTGGTATTTGTGAATGCTTTAATTGTTGCTTAGATTTAAAGTAGAAATGGAGTTAAGTGTAAAGCGAAGAACTCAGATGGAAGTGTGCAATTTGTTTAATGAAAAATATCCAGAAAGACCTATAACGCGTTCAACAGTCAGTAATATTGAAAAGAAATTTCGAGAAACTGGTACGGTTGAAAATGCACTGAAATCAGGTCGTACTTCTGCAAATGCTAATACAGCATTAGATGTTTTACTTAGTTTTGAAGAAGATGCGCACACTTCTGTGCGTAAAGTTAGTCGCGATATCGGTGTTAGCAAAACAACGGTACACAAAATATTAAATCTTTCAAAATGGCTTCCTTATAAACTCAAACTAAAACTAAAATCAAACTTGTGCAGGAATTAAACGAAGATGATCCCGATAGAAGAATGCAATTTTGCAAAGCCATGATGGATAACTGCCACCGAGACCCTCTCTTTACGTTATGTTAGTTTATGAACACACACAAAACTATTGTATTTTTGTCCACCCTGTACCAATTTGAATCAATATGTGATACATTTTTGGAATCAGCTCAGTTAGAGTAATCCGAAAATCGAGATCAAAGGGGGGTTTTCCATTAAAAAAAAATTATTTCTTAAAATGCCCTGTTTAGCTAAAAAAGAATTTGTTCCATACTTTCCGGACACAGTGTATAATAGTTCGTAATGAACTGTACGAACCAGGTACGAACCAAATTTAATTTTTTAATCTTGTCTAAATATAAACAAAAAGTAATCAAAATCAAAATGCTAAGTTCTGGTATCGTTCTGGTTCCTTTCGTTTAAGCATTGGTTGAAAATTCAAAGAATAAATAATATTTACCTGTTAACTTAAAAATCGGCATATTATTGGTTTGTTAACCTCACTAATACCTTAAACAATTTAACACATAATAATAAAGATTTATAAATAGGCAAATTAATGAAATACAGGACAGGAAACGATTAGATATCTGCTATCAATGTTGATATAACGAATCATCTACAAAGTCTTACGGTACACTACGCATTTTTATTGTTTAATTTTCACTAACATTGATAAGTTGCTTTAGGCAGATGTTTCTAAATAAATAAAATTGGTTGTAGTATAGTACAAAGATCAACTAATGATAAGAATTAACGATAATGTTTTTTCGAGTACATTAAACGTTTTCAATACTCAGGAATCTACAGAGAAATAATGCAGATACCAAAGAGTACAGTCTTTTATCAAGTATATTATTAGAAAAACGTCCCAGCTAAAAAATAACTTTTTATTTTACTTCGTCATAAAGAGTCTGTTGACTAGGGAAAAATCAAAGTCAGAACAAAACTATTAACCTTTAAGTAGTCGCGTGGCTGATGTGACGTAAGTAGTCGCATGGCTTATGTGACGCAAGCAATCGCGTGTCGTTGTTTGTCGCCAGTGTAATAAAGAGGTATTGTCTTTTTAGTATTATCTTTTTAGTATTTATTTATTTCTTTTATAGAGTAGGGAGAGAAGAAAATAATAGAGTCGTAGGAAGATATGGGGAACAATGCGAATGGGAATGCGTCTTAGAGATTTTTGTGAAACAATGTCTCTCAAAATTATGAATGAATTTTTTCAACTTAGAGACATCTACAAATTTACATGGATACAACCTATTTGGAATCTGCCCTCGATAATCGACTATGTAATCCAACGTCAAACTTCCCAGCTAAAAACAACTGACGTAAGGGTATACCGTGGATCAGAATGTAGATCCGATCATCGTTTACGTATGGCCAACGTGATAGTTAACTATCGCAAAAACAATATCACTCGGGTACATAATATAGAAAAGGGACAAGAAGTAACATCCCCTAAATATAACCTAGAAAGCTTAAAAGAAGATTCGACGAAATTTCCTTACAAAATGTGGATCGAAAATATATATGAGCGGAAGAATTATACCAGCAACTTAAAAAATGCGTTTATGAGGCTGGAAGTGAAGCTTTGGGGTATAAAGTCAAACACGAAACAAAAATCAAGCAAAGTGGTCGAGAATATGCAAAAGTTAGTAAACAAGAAGAAAACTGCTTATCAGCATTGCATATTAACGAAAAAGGAGGAAGATATATAAAAAATCAAATCTTCTTCTTCTTATTCTTTTTTATAAGCAAAATGCTTGTTCAATGTCTATTAATGCCTCTATTGGAGGTTATCACTCCATCTTTTGCGTGGTCGCCCGATACTTCTTCTACCTCTTGGTGATTTGTCCCTCGCTATTCTGACTAATCGGGTCTCTTCCATTCTGTTTATGTGTTCGTTCCATTTCTTTTTTCTGTTCAGTGTCCACTCATTTATTTCTGGTATATTGCATTTTCTTCTGATCTCTTCACTCCTCATTCGATCCCTCAGTGTGTTTCCTGTAATTCTCCTCAGTAAACGCATCTCCGCTGTTTCTAGTAGTTGCTGAGTTTTGGAGGTATCAGGTCTTGTCTCTGAAGTGTATGTGATTATTGGTCTTATTGTTGCTTTGTAGATTCTTGATTTCACGTCGGTATTAATGTGGGGATTGCGCCATATCGTGTTATTAAGACAACCTGCTATTTTATTAGCCTTTTGTACTTGATTTTTCACTTCCTTCTCCACATCTCCGTAGCTAGACAGTGTAATTCCTAGGTAATTTGTCTCCATTACTTGCTCAATGCTGATACCGCCGATTTCCAGTTTACATCTAATTGGTTCTTTACTGATTACAATTGTTTTAGTTTTCTGTGTAGAGATCACCATATTAAAGTCCTTTGCCTTGTGTTGAATCTATGGGTTAGTCTTTGTAGATCGTCTTCATTGGGTGCAATTAGGGCCGCATCATCTGCATAGCAGAGTATTCTGATTTCTTTGTTCCCCATTTTGTATCCTCTTCCTTTATTAATAGTATTGATGATTTCATCCATGATTAGATTGAATAGCGTTGGACTAAGCACTAAAAAATCAAATCGATATGTAAAAATAGAACTAGTGAAAAGTCAAAATGACATGTGGGATCGAAGATGTGCAGAGGTGGATAGGTACATGGGTGAAACAAGAGTTGGGCAAGCGTGGAAGGTGATAAAGCCTCTCCGGAGGGAAGGAAAGGAGAAATCTAACTTACATTATTTATATTATTTGATAGATCTGAAACAGTGGATTATGATCACCATTATGAGATCTTACTGACAGAGGATATAGCTAAACTCCAAGGGATCGAAATGGAAGAAATATCCGAACACACATAAATAATTGAGATAACAAGCGGAGAGTTAAGCGATGCCCTCAAAAGATCGAAAAACGGTAAAGTAGTAGGACCTAGAGACATCCCAATTGAGTTGGTAAAGTATAGACCAAAAATATTACATGAGATGTTGGTTCAACTTTTTAACAAATGCTTAAAAGAACAAAATATCCCTGATGATTGGAATGTTGGATACATCAACTCAATATTCAAGAAAGGGGATAAACGCAAATGCTCTAATTATAGTGGAATAACTGTTATCAACTCAGTGGGGAGGTTGTAATCATCATCATCCAGCCTTCATTTATAACGTAAACTGCTGGACATAGGCCTCCGTTAACCTCCTACATTCTTTGCGATTTTGCGCTGCTTGTTGAGGAGGTTGTATGGTCGAATAATAAAAGAAAAAAGAGAATCAGAATACGAAGACATAGAGGAACAAAATGGATTTCATGCAGGAAGATCGTGTACTGATGGTATATTCGTTCTGCAGGTAATCAAAAAAACTTAAGGCAAGGAATCTATCTACCCACATATTGTTTGTAGATTTAGAGAAGGCATACGATACGGTACCTTTGAAAAAACTGTATCAAACATTGACGAAAGTAGCTCTCGGTAGAGAGTATGTGGATGGTATCGCAAATATATACAAAAGTGCCAGAAGTGTCGTTAAAGAAGGACACTTCATTATCTGAATCATTTCCAATAACAAAGGGGCTTAAACAAGGCTGTTAACTATCTCCGACCTTATTTAAAATATATATTCAATCATATGTAGAGTGATGTAGAGTGAGTTTCCATTGGAGGAAACAAGTATCTGGAATGGGAATAGACATAGACGGTGGTAAATGTCTAGCAACTTTATGTTTCGCAGACGATCAGGTAGTCGTTGCGAATGATGAGGAAGACATGGACTACATGTTCAGAAAACTAAAGAAAGAATATGAAAAATGGGACCTCAATATGAATATGTCAAAGACAGAGTATCTTAAAATAGGAGATGATGAAGAAGATCCAGAGTTAGAAATTAGAAACAGAAAAACATGCAATGAATATAAATATTTCGAATCTATAATATCTAAAGAAGGCACTACCAAAAGAGACATCGAAAATAGAACGCAGCAAGGAAAAAAAGCGGTAAACATTCTAAACTCTCTACTATGGTCTAAAGATATTAGACAAGAAACGAAATTGACAATCTATCGAACCTTGGTAGAGCCTATTATGACTTATGGGGCAAAAGTTTGGCAAATCACAAAAGAAGATAGAAAAAGAATAGAAGTAGTAGAACAAATTTTCTAAGGAGAGCGTGTGGTGTATCCAAAAAAGATCATATCAGGAATGAATATATTAGAAGGAACTGAAGGAAAAGATAATCCAACTTAACCAAAACATATCGGCAGATGAACTCAACGCCATGAGAAATGCGTTGTATAATAGATTTGGTTACTGTTCGTTACAATTTGGTGGTCTGTTTGAACATTTAATTACCTAAGAATTTTATTTCATTTAAAATTTCTATTTTTTGGAATTATTTTTAATTTAAACAGTAGTGTAGAATTATTTTTTTTTTGATTTCATTTTTATAGAACAAATTTTATACTTTTATACTAATTTTATCCTTTTTTGTTTAATTTTTATAGAACTAATTTTTATTATCACACCTACTACCTCCAAAAAATCTAAACCAAAATATGGTTTCAAAGATATTATTTGGAAAATACCAAATAATACTTAATAATAGAAAATAATATCTTATTTTATAATCATAATACACCTACTCCTTTCTAATGATGTACTAGCACTGTCTTTATTTATTATGCTTTATGAAAGAGCAACCCACGAACCCATGCAATACGCATGACATACCAAACTAGTTCTGTTCTGCTCGTTACCACAGTATTAAAATCAAATTGCCGTTACTTTGACGTCGCGACGTTGCCAAATAATTTTGAATGAAGCTTTTTTTATTGTGGCGTCATAATGCAGTTTATTATTTTTATTGGGAATAAGGCACAATGTTACTTTAAAATAAGCTTGTTTTGATGTTTAGATTTCCAATTCGCAAATCGTACTTAAAATACGAAATAAATTTTATTTATATAAAACGATTTTCCAAGTGGAAATCAGAATGTTAAATTAAACTTATTGTAAAGTAAAATTGTGCATATCCCAAAAAAAAACAGTAAGCTGTCATTTAAATCAATTCGCCCAAATTTGATTATCTGCGACATTGTTCATATGCTAAAAAGACAACTGGTCAAATAAAACCAATGTGTTTATTATTTTCACTAATGCATTTTCGACGATATAAAGGGCGGACCTAATATATCTCTCTCTTTTTAAACAGGTGTTTAAAATCCATCTCACGTAAGGCCCATACTGACGATAGGTTATTACCCAGGCTGTATATTCGTTTCAAAAACTTAGTAGGAGAGCATTAGACACATTTCAGTGTTGCAAGTTTAATTTTTGTTACAACCTAATAAAATGAAGACAAACGTAAATATATTTCGTATTTCAATCAAAAACCATTTTTAAATAAAATATTCAATATGACCCTGTGAGTCTCGATTTGTTTCCCGTAAGGATCCATACATTGATGTAAATAAAACAATAGCATCCTCTAAAAATTTCTTTCTATAATAAAAAAACACTCACCTATATTAGACGGTGTACTAGAAGCTGAAGTAATTTCGCTCTTCTCTTCATTTTTGCCGGTAGCCTCATCTTCGCTGGCGTACAGTTCTTCGATTTGTTCTGCATTGGCATGGAACTTTATAGAAATTTGAGGAACAGATGTGGTCACTGGCTTACCTACAAAAGTTGACAAGTTACAAATAAATATACTAACACATTATAACCTAGAATATACTGTTTTCGAATCAAATATTTGTATCTTCTTATCGTATGCTTATAGTTACGGTCTTTCTGGCCTCTCAAAATAGTGTTATTACACTTTAACACTTTATGTAATATAGATTTTTGAACTTAAATGAAGCTATGATTTTGTCTTAAATGATCAGATTTGGTTTATGTGTGATCTATATAGCATTCAACGATTTACCAATCTATGAGTGATTTCCACGGAGGTACAGGAACTCAATGTTCAACGCAAACTTATCCCGTATGTTATAAACACCTTAGTCATCAGCAGTTTCAACAAGTTATCAGAAATTTAAATATATTCTAAAATCCTTTATCAGGTTATTTATTGTTAATAAAGTGTTACAGTTACTTTGTCAGTTTCTAAGGATGTTTTAAAAATCTTCATGAGTGTCCATTAAGTCATTTTACCATAATTAAACGGTGAACATATCTAGAACGATAAAGCCATAAAAGTATCCTGGAACTCTTTATCTTCTTCTTCTTCTTCCTTTGCCCTATCCGTTTCGGACGTTGGCTATTAACAAGGCTATTTTGACTTTGTTTACGGCACCTCTGAACAGTTCGGTCGATGTTAGTCCGAACCATTGTCGCAGGTTATGCATCCATGAGTGTCGTCTTCTTCCCGTTCCTCTCCTCCTGTCGATTCTTCCTTGGACTATTAACTGTAGCAGCCGGTACTTAGTATGCCTCATGACATGTCCGAAGTACTCAAGCTTCCGTTTCTTTACGGTGAAGATTATTTCTTTGCTTTTGTCTATTCTCTGCATTACTTCCACGTTAGTGATGTGGTCTGTCCAGGATATCCGAAGAATACGGCGATATATCCACAGCTCAAAGGATTCTAGTTTCTTCAGGGTGACTTCCGTTGTGGTCCATGCCTCTGCTCCATAGAACAAGATCGGGAAGACATAACACTTGACCAGTCTTAATTTTAGTTCCATTGAGATTTTGCTTGTGAACCACTTTTTCATATTGTTGAACGCGTTTCGCGCTTTTTCAATTCGTGACCTTATTTCTGTTGACTGGTCCCATTTTGTGTTGACTGTGGTTCCAAGGCATGTGTATGTCTCCACTTGTTCTATTTTTCAGTTGTTTAATGTCAATTGCATCGGAGGTTGTTGTGTTCTGCTGATGAGCATGCATTTAGTTTTGGTTGTATTGAGTTCTAAACCATATTCTTGACTTGCTGTGTATATGCTTTGCATGAGTCTTTGAAGCTCGTTGCAGTCATTTGCGATAATAACTGTGTCGTCAGCATATCTAATATTATTGATTACCTCTCCGTTTACTTTGATACCCTCCGAAAGTTCTCCCAGTGCTTCTCTGAAGATTTGTTCAGAGTATATATTAAACAGGAGCGGCAAGAGAACGCATCTCTGTCGTACGCATGTTTGACCTTGTCAAACGCGTTGGAGAAGTCGATGAAGCACAAGTGGACGTCCTTGTGTATGTCTCTGCATCTTTGAATTAAATAGGTATTATCATCTTATTAGTATTATCTATAAAGAGTATAGGAACTCTTTATAGACAGCGTTATTTTTATAGGTATTATCATCGTTAGCTAATCATTAATTAAGATTTAAAGTTTTACAACTCTTATACAACACTATACCACACGTTTGAGAAGCTGAAAAGTTGGATTCTGAGAAGATACACTTTTGATTCAAAATTTTGAACTACAAATAAAAATATCTAGTGTAAATGTGAAGTGCATGAAGCGACTATAGTGTGTATCACTATAAGCGAAAAGCAATTGTATTTCAGATCAAGAAACCTACATTTTTCAGATAGTTAAAAAAAAAGAAAAATTGAAGTCATAGAAATATCCCAAAGTACAAAAAAGTTTATCATGACGATACAATGTGACAGCTCCCTAAAGGGCATAAACACAGTCGATTCCTCTCTACTGAATAGAAAACAGTACACTAAATGCAAAATAAGTATCGTTGCACATCATATTTCACATATTGAATGTTTATAGACTGTCGTCTGTCATCATTTGTCATTTCACCTGTCTCACATAATTGTTTTAATGATAGTTTATATTTTTTTTGCTAATTACCATAAAAAATAGGTCACAAAGTCACATTACTTTTATATTTTAAAGGGGAGACAAATTTTTTAAAGTTATGTTGCTCTTTTCAGCGTTATTCATTTAAATTAAAGCATAATATCAGGTAGTTCTTTAGAGTGACATATGTTAGTTACTACTATTGACTGTTTTAGATTAAAATTTCAGACCGATTTTGTGATTTAGTGTATTACTATGACATTCAACTAAAATTACGAATTAAACGAATTAGAAACATGCGTATAGGAATGTATCATTTTACTACTGGTAAATTCTTACGAATTATGTACTGGTAGACTTGACAATTGTATGTTAATAGTACCAAATTGTATTTTATAAAAGAAAAATAAACTTGCATTTAATAATTACAACATCCACTCGACAGTTTATACTTAATTCTATTAGACATTTGTTAGTTTTACTTTGTTGTATTCACTACTGTTTTTCTGAGAGTATAAGCCTGAGTTCGCCTCTACGCAACCATAGGACAGGTGTGAATAAGGTAGAACCGAATAAACATCCGCGGGTCAATTGAGAATTACAGAGGCTTTAACTGTAGATCTGTTGATTGGACATGACACATTCTTCCACATAAAAAAACACACACTCACACATGCATACAGATCTACACCATTCTCAATCGACAAACAACCAGACGACCGCACCACAACTGACAGTGTATGCCTACCACAAGAAGAAAAGTGTTGCCTAAGCGACGACCCAGAGAGCAGGTGAATTCTTGGAGTCGACACGGTGTAGGTATACTGTAGT